CATGTGGGAGCCTAGTGCCTTAACCATAACGTCGTTGGTTGCCTTCTTACCTAGCCCTCCCATAGTGGAGAGAGTGTGTGTGTGTGAGCTCTCTGGTGTCTTAAAAGGATGCTAATCTTAGTGGGTTGTACCGCCCTGGTGACCTAATCTAAACGTAATGACTTCCCTATAGGCCTGAGCTCCAAATATCGCACTGGGGGTTAGGGTTTCAACACATGAATTTTGGAGGAACAGTCCATAGAAGATATAGTTTCAGAATCTAGGCTGCAACTAACTTTTCAGAAATTATTTGTTGAATTTTGGTGTAGTACAAAGATAAATGTCCACAATGATCTGAAAAAAGTTAAAGCTCTTTTCTTTTCCAACTACATATCTGTCTGAAGGTGGATTTCCTTCATGTATTTCAATCAAACTTTTATAAAAGCATGTATGTAGGAGAATGCAGTTCAATGTCTTTTTTTTTTTTAAAGAGGATTTTGCCTCAGGGCATGTAGGCTTGTTGGAGAGAAAGAAAGAGTGGGAAATAGAGAAATCAACCTCCAGGGAGGATGGCCATGCCACAGTCTCTTCTCTCCCAGGATCTTGGACATGCACTCGCTCACACCTGGCATGATTTTCAAACCACCAGGTCCAGGACTTGAACCGTGGTTGCCCACGTGAGAGTCCAGCGACATAACCACTATGTCATCTGCTAGTCCCTCAATGTCTTCTTTAAGACAGACATGAAGGAGATATGTGAAAATATCAAACTTCTAATTCTTGTGTTTGGGAAAATGTATTTTCCATCAAATGTTATTTATGTTTCTATATAATGGGTTTGTTATTGTTATTTTAATTAAAAGAAGTTTAAAATTTTTATTGGTTTCAAGTGTTAGTAGGGTAAACAGTGGTAATGCATATAAACAAATCTCCTTGAGGTTCTTGGTAAATTTTTAGCGTAGTCTTGAGACCACAGAGTCTGATAAATGCTAGTCTAACTCATTGCTCAAGAAATGCAGAAGCATGGACATTTTAACTATTTCACTTTCTCGGCATCTCTCCTAGAGTCTTCTGACCTGCTAGAGTTTGGATGTATGCCCTTGGAACTGTTTTCACTATCATTATCTAGTACACAAGCCAGCAAACTAAGATCTGTGGGCCAAATTCAGCCTGTCACCTGCTTTTAAATGAAGTTTTTCTAGAACATAGCCAGGTTTGTTCGTTTACAGAGTCTGCTTTCCTATTATGAAATGAGTTTATTTTTGGTCAGAGGGAACCCAGGAGTTTAGTAGTTGTGACAGACACCATATAGCCTATAAAGCTAGAAATATTTACTATTAGGGGCCAGCAGATGGCATACCAGTAATGTCACTGCAGTTCGAGTCCCAGACCTGGTGGCTTGAAAATCACGCCAGGTGCATGTGCATGTGTGCCCAAGATCCCAGGAAAGAGAATGGAGGAGAAGGGATTGTGGCATGGCCATGCCCCCTGGGGGATGATTCTCATATTCTCTCTCACTGTCCCTCTTTCTCTCAGGTGAGCACATGTGCCCTAAGGCAAAAACCTCTTAAAAAAAAAAAAGTAGTAGTATTTACTACCTGGTCCTTTGCAGGAAAAGTTTTCCCACCCCAATCTAAGTGATTCCTTTACTTTTTTCCTATGTTGTTTGGCTGTTTTTGGGGTCTCACTCTTTTTCAATTTACGTCTTCATTCTGGTGAAGCATATCTTCTAGCAGCTTCCTGTGCTGAGGTGTAAGAGGGATTCATTTTTTTTTTTTTTTGAGACTGCTTATCAGAAAATGTTCTTTCCTACCCTCACATTTTACTGATAGCTTAGCTGGGTACAGAATTTTCGCAGGGAGGTTATGGTTTTTCAGAAAGCTTTGCTTCACTATCATCAAGTTCCTATGGTAGCAATAGAAAGGGCTGAAGTTATTCTGATCTCCAGTCAAGTAAATGTGATCCCTGCTCCTCCTGCTCAGAAACCTAGAAGGTCTAGGGGGTTTCAGTCTGTGACGATGACCTACATGGAGTCACACTGAGACCTCCCTGAATATGCAGGGCATGCTCAAGCCCATGATCTGGGGCTGGAGGAAGAGTAGAGTTGGAACATAGTCTCAAGACCCCTGTTGGGGGTATACATGCACACACTCTCTATTTCGCTCATATTTTAAAAAATAAATAAATTGGGACCAGCAGTAAGGGGAGTAATGGCTATGTCGCTGGACTCCCACGTAGTCGACTGTGGTTTGAGTCCTGGACCTGATGGCTTAAACTTACACTGGGCACGTGTGCATGCGTGCCCAAGATCCCGAGAGGAGAATGGAGGAGAAGGATTGCAGTGTGACCATCCCCCCTGGGGGGTGATTTCTTGCTTTCTGTCTGTCTCTCTTTGTCTTTCTGGCACACCCTATAGCAAAAACCTGTCCAAAAATGTCAAGTAAATGTGATCCCTGCTCCTCCTGCTCAGAAACCTAGAAGGTCTAGGGGGTTTCAGTCTGTGACGATGACCTACATGGAGTCACACTGAGACCTCCCTGAATATGCAGGGCATGCTCAAGCCCATGATCTGGGGCTGGAGGAAGAGTAGAGTTGGAACATAGTCTCAAGACCCCTGTTGGGGGTATACATGCACACACTCTCTATTTCGCTCATATTTTAAAAAATAAATAAATTGGGACCAGCAGTAAGGGGAGTAATGGCTATGTCGCTGGACTCCCACGTAGTCGACTGTGGTTTGAGTCCTGGACCTGATGGCTTAAACTTACACTGGGCACGTGTGCATGCGTGCCCAAGATCCCGAGAGGAGAATGGAGGAGAAGGATTGCAGTGTGACCATCCCCCCTGGGGGGTGATTTCTTGCTTTCTGTCTGTCTCTCTTTGTCTTTCTGGCACACCCTATAGCAAAAACCTGTCCAAAAATAAATAAATAAATAAATAAACAAATTAAAAAAGGAACTGACAGGATCTTTTCATTGTCCCCGTATTCTGAGATTTGATGATGCCGAGTCTTGGAGACAGGGCACATTTGTCTCCACCATGATGCAGGCAGTGGTCTCTCTTAACCTGGAGAGTCACGTCCTCCAGCAACGGGATATTTTCTAGAATGATTTAGTTCAATACTTCGCACCCTCCGCTTTCCCCATCCCTAGTTTTGGAATGCTTCTTGAACAGATGTTGGCTGTCTTGGAATGGTCCTCTAAGCTTCTCTTCTTTCCTATCTCTTTCTCAGACTATTCCTCAGCCTTCCCACTAGAATCCTGAACTGTCTTCACTCCTTCTATCCTGTTTTAAATTTCCCCTCCAAATATCTTTTATTAAAGTACCTTGGCTTGTGATTCAGATATTCTCTCTTGAAAACATTCTCTCAGGACATAAACTATCATTTCTTTTCCCTGTCGAGTGTGTTTTGTCTAATATGTTATATTAGAGGCTTTCTTCTTGGTTGTCTCTTCACACGTGGAAATGAAATTCCCAAAGTCCTGACTGTGGGTACAGCTTATCCGAAAGCTTCACTGTAGGGAGAAACAGCTGGGCTGTTCACTGGGAAACCCCTAAGGTTAGTACCTTCAGGTCTTTATTCTTTGCTACTCAGATTCCTCAGAGAAAGATTTTCCCATCCCCTGACTCACGGGTATAGGCCTGGTTCCCAGAACTCTGGGGTTGGCTGGGGAAAAGGCTGAGACTCTTAACACTCAGTATGCCAACACTCACTCCATTTCTCCCTAGGTACCACCCCACTTCTCAAGTGTGTCTGTGTCCCCTAGCCAGACAGCCCAACTTTGTCCTGTTCAGAGAATGTTTCTGGAGGCCAATCTTTCAGGATAAACTTCCAGCCAATCCTGTTGTTAGCCTCGTTTTCACCACCCCTTCCGCGCCTTCTAGAGTTATCTGGTCTGTGGACTTCTGAATTCCGTGAGGGTTCTGCTGTGTACGCTGGGCTGCTTCTGGCTCCTTGGATGGCTGGCGCGGGAGTCGGCCTTCTCAAGACTGCTAAGTCAGTTACCACTCTGCCATCTGCTCCCTGCTTCCAAGGCCTTGTTGCTGTTGTCTCCTCGCCCACTCTCTTTGTCCTTGTGGGTTTATGTCTTAAAAAAAATCCCTCTTCATTGTTGTTTTAGTGAGGTTTTGGGAGGGAATGAAAGCAAATGTGGGTATTCAGTCCTCCATCTTTATTTTGAGCCTCTTAATAATTAAATATCTTTTTAAAAAAATAAACAAAAACACTTCTGTTTAACACTGCAGCATGGAGAGCCACATGGTCCCCACGGTCTCCATGAACCACACAGCATACTGAGTGGGGACCGCAGCGTCCTTATCATTACTGACTCTGCGGAGAGTTGCTTCTCTTCTGGGGGAAGGGCCATCTTCCCTGGAGGCCCCTTTTGTTTACTCCCCAAGTCTGGGAGTGGCTCCTGGTGTCTCCTCCCTCCCCCAGCCCCTGGTTTCCTTACCTGGCGCCAGGACTACAGCATTACCTTGCTAATTCTCCCATAAACCTCCAGTCAACCGACGCAATGAGGCAGTGTAACCCTTTCTAAAATGCCATCTAACTCATGGCACATCAGCGGGACCCAAACCCTGCAATCCCCTGTGGCTGGCATTTGACTGTGACTCCATAGTTTGATTCCACCCCAGCTAAGCAAACTTCCCCAACATCTTCCTTCCAACAGGCCCTGTTCTCCTAACCGCAGCTTAGACGGCCTCCAGCTTCCACTCGTGCACACACCCTCACCCTGTCAGCTGCTCGAAGCCTCCCCACATGCCTCTGCCTGCTAGGTTTCTTCCTTCACCTGACAATGGCCAAGAAACAAGAGCTTATTTCCAAGGGCTTAGGTCAGTCTTGTCTTCTAAGTGGAAAGGACAGCTCTCGAGGCAGGGGCTCTTATATTCTTCTCCATGGCGGCTGCCCCCTACTCCCCTCATCCTGCCATGAAGCACTCTAGCTAGTGCCAGGTACCATGCTTTCCAGCATGGTACGGTGGTAAGTGGAGAAGGAATGACCGCGTGGAGGTTGTTACCTTGCCCTCTGGGGTCAGTGTCCAGATCACGGAGAAGGTCAGCTTGTCGGTCATGGGGTTGAGGCTGCACAGCTCCTCACAGAGCAGTCTGGGGAGCATGGGGACCACCTGCGGGCAGAGGACAGGAGCATGAGCACTGGACAGAACCGCAGGAGTCTGTCCTGGGCTGAGGAGCACCCCAGTGAGAACAGCTTCCACTCTTCTAGAGTGAGAAAGATGGAAGTGACTTTGTTCCCCCAAAACTCTGCAGAAAGACCACACTGTTCCCCCAACACTGTACAGAAAGACCACACTAGCTTATACTTCTAGACAAGCTTCTAGTGTCCAATGGGAATGTGAGCTGAGAAAGTGAGGACTGGTGACAGATGATAAAAAAAATATATTATATTGTAGTATTGAAAAACAACTATTTTTAAAAATTATTTATTTTATTTTATTTATTCGTTCCTTTTATTTTATTTTATTTTTAGTTTGACCAGAGAGAGACAGAGGGTGAGAGTGAGAGAGAGAGGAAATGAGAAAGCAAGCCACCAGATTCAGGACTTGAACCCTGGTTGGCCATGTGGGAGTGTCCAGTGCCTTAACCACCACACCACCTGCTGGGCCCGAAAAACAACTATTGAGTTGTCGGAAAAGTCATGGCATTTTTCTATGTTTTTCTATGCAAAAATGCATCATGACTCTCCCAACGACCCAATGCATTTGACTATCCTCTAAAACTGAAGCTCCAGATGCACGAAGGTTGTACTTTTGGACTTAACTATTCCAGCTGAACCAAGGCCTGAGTGTAAACTCGCTACAGTTTCCTCAAAGCAAAATGGAGCTATTGCCGAGTCAATGCCTTAGTAATTAAACATACCCTAAGTTATCAAATTACATGTTGGAACATTAGCCAAACACGCCAATAAAATATCACTATAATAATAAAATTAAAAGGTTCATAAAATCAAGTTTCCTACATGAATATTATGGTCAACAGTCACCCATTTGGAAGTGTTTTTGAGCCTAAATAACTTCTTTTCCTTGTTGATCTACCACATAGTAAACTGAGTCAGTGGCATCCTCACTTTAATTAAACTTTTTTTAACTTACTTTGAAATGATGGCATAGCGTTTCCCAGGAGATTACTTTTTTCTAAAATTCTAAAGATGAAATGAGTATCTCTACCGTTGTCTCCTGAAGATACTGTCCCTCTGACCTTTAAGTCTGTTCCTTCTCCTCCTTCCTTCCTCTCTTCATGATACAGCATGTTTGTGCAAAAGCGAGAGTGAGAAAGGGAGGAAGGAGCACTTCCACCGTGTCTGGTAGTGTCACGATCCCCTTCCTGCCAGCCTCCAGCCCACAGGACCTTGGGCACTCATGGTCACACCTGGTGTGCCTCTGGCTGACCAGGCCAGGGATTGGCACCATGGTTACCAAGTGGGATTAGGCTTATTTATTTATTTATTTATTTATTAAGAATTATTTTACACCTCTCTCTCTCTCTCTCTCTCTCCCCCTTTCTTCTTCTTTCTCTATTTTAACTTGACCAGAGAGGGACAGAGTGAGTGAGTGAAAGTGAGAAAGCAAGCCTCCAGGTCCAGGACTCAAACTGTGGTCGGCCCTGTGGAATCCATCAGTGTTAACCACATGCCACCTGCTGGCCCTGTGATCAGGCTTTTCTTGAGCAAGCAGCGCGTTACTGCTACGCCACAAAGCTGGCCCCCTATAGTCTTCGTGGTTAATGTCACCACGCACCTCACATCTCAAAATAAAGACATCCGCATGACCAGTCGCTTCCTCAGCACGCTTATCGCAGACCTACTTGCAGGGTCACGTTGCACATGCTGACAATGGAACCCGTGCTGAGTAACTGCGGCCTGAGAAGTGAGAGGGGAACCGCTGTCACTGAGGTAAATTAGCTAATTAAATGTCTCAGTCAGCAAAACAAAATAAACCCCAGTGGCTTCTCATTCCTGTGGAGGGTCTACACCTGTATCCTGCATTAGTAAGCATCTTTGATATGAAAAAGTAAATTCTAGAACTCATGACCCACACCAGTAACTAATAATAAATAACTAGCATTATTCTAAAAGATGCCATATCTTTTAACATCTATATGACACCTAATGACAACCTAAAAAAATTGGTAATAGCTTTTGAAAAAAATTATTATTTATTTTATTTTATTTATTATTATTATTTTTTAATTTGACCAGAGAGTGACAGAGAAAGAGTTGAGTGTGAGGGAAAATAAGAAAGCAAGGTGCCAAGTTCAGGTCTCAAACTGCACTCGGCCATGTGGGAGTCCAGCACCTTAACCACCATACCACCTGCCAGTCCCAGTAATAGCTTGTATAACAACTTACTTTTGACTTTTTTTTGGTCCCCTTTCTTTCTTTTTCTGGAGAGGTTTTTGCTAGAGGGCGCGTGTGCTTGCCAGAAAGACAGAGAGACAGAGAGACAGAAAGTGAGAAATCACCCCCCAGGGGATGGCCATGCCGCAATCCCTTCTCCACCATTCTTCTCTTGGGGGATCTTGGGCATGCACGCACACGTACATGGAGTGAGTTTAAGCCACCGGGTCTGGGACTGGAACCATGGTCAACTACATGGGAGTCCAGCAACATAGCCATTATGCCAACTGCTGGTCCCACTTTTGACATTTTCTCTTGCCATTGTTTTTACAACATTAGTTCAGATGACACTGTATCTTCTTGGTTGGCTAACTTATTTAATACTACATTAAAATATGATTAAAATTTTAGCTCTTTTGTACATGTCAAGTGTTTTACAAAAATAATCCATCTCCACTTATATAAACATAACATTCAAAATACAGTAAAAGTTTTAGTATCATACTGTTTCATGATTGAATTATACATATTTCACATCATTTTACCCTTGGGCTGTGCTCCAGATTAAAGTGTACCTGCATCCTGGGCCCACTCGTATTTTGAAATCCTAATCCCTACTGAACTTGGAGAGTACGACTTTAGACATAACCACATGCAGCAGGGAAGAGCGCCCTCACCGGGAAGCAAGCCGGCCAGCACCTTGATCTACCTTGATCTAGAACTTAAGCTCTCCCTAGTGGGAGAGAATCAGGTCTGCTGTTTAAGCCACCCTAGTCTAAGGCACACTGTTACAGGCGCCTGAGCCGAGGCAGCCTAAGCCAAGCTGGGTGGCAGCGTGCTCTGCAGTCGTCTCTAGAGCATCAGCAGAGACACCGCCCGAACTGAGGAGTGGCTGCTCCTCGGCCGGCCTGCTCCGAGTACTCCACCTCCCCTTCCATGTACTGAGTGTCTCGTCTAAGTGTTCAGGGCAGTTCTTACTTGAACTTACAAAGTTGGTAGTGTAACAGGTTTGTTTGTCCGTCATTAGGTTTTTGTCATGGTGTGTATGCATTCGCCAGAGAGAGACAGACAGAGGGAAAGTGAGAAATCATCCCCCAGGGGGAATGGCCATGCCTCAATCCCTTCTCCTTCATTCTCCCCTTGGGATTTTGGGTACACGCGTTCAGGCGCCTGGTCTGATTCTCAAGTTGCCGGGTCTGGCACTCAAACCTTGCCCGACATGTGGAAGTCTGGCTTAGCCTCCATGCTGCCTGCTGGCCCCAGTAATACAGCTCTTGGCTTCATGTTTTAGTGTTTACCAAAACAAAGTCTTTGCTACTTGGGACTGGACTGGACCCTGGAACACAAAGAAAAGATTGATGAAAAAGCTGGAGAAATTAAAATAAAGTGTGGAGTTTCCTTAACAGTAATGTTCCAAGCCAGTTTCTTAGTCACAGCAAGTATAGCACAGTTAACGCCAGACATTAACAACGGGGCGGGCGCTGTGTACTCAGGTCCTCTCCGGACGACCTGTGCAGCTTTCTGTCAGTCTCAACACGTTCCAGATTATAAGAGTGCATTTATAAGACAGTTTTCATTAATTGATCTTGGTTTATAAATTTAAATATGAAATTAATTTATGCTAATTATCTCGTGAAAAACAGATATTGGAGTTTGGGGTTAACATTTTATTTTAAGGACCAGCAGATGGCATAATAGTTATATCACTGGACTCCCACATAGTCAACCACAGTTTGAATCCTGGACCTGGCAGCTTAAAACTCACACTGAGCACATGTGCATGTGTGCTCAAGATCCCAAGAAGAGAGTGGAAGGGATTGTGGCATGGCTATTCCCCCTGGGAGGGAGCGATCTCTCGCTGTCTCTGTCTCTCCAGTGAGCACATGTGCCCTATAGCAAAAATCTCTCTTAAAAAAATTATTTGTAAAAAGGGCTTCACTACTTTAAAAAAGAGAAAGAAAGGAAAAGAAAAAGAAAAAAAAGGGCACAAAATCTAAAGAATATTAACCAGAGGCCAGCACATAGCGTAATGGTTACGTCGCAGGACTCCCACATGGCTAACCATGGTTCGAGTCCCGGACCCGGTGGCTTGAAAATCATGCTGGGTACCTGTGTGTGCATGCCTCGGATCCTGGGAGGAGAATGGAGGAGAAGGGATTGCAGCATGGCCATCCCCCCTGGGGAGTGATTTCTGACTTTCCCTCTCACTATCTCTGTTTCCTACCTCTCCTGTGTGCATGTGTGCCCTAAGGCAAACAACCTCTATAAAAAAGAAAAAAAAAAGAGCATTAACCAACAGAGTAAAGTTTAGGCTCAGAGGCAGCCAGGCCAGGAAAAGCACAGGCTCTGATGCCTGCAGGGCTCGGGGTGTCCTCATGGATCCACCACTTCCCATTCAATTTGGGCAAGTCAGTGCAATGCTGAGTCTTGGCTTTCTTATCAGGAATACACTGAAGATGCTTGATGGACGCTGGCTCCCTGGCCAGCCACCAGTGTCTCAGGTCCTCCATCACCTGGCCCAGCCTCTGTCCCGGACCTGTCCTGCAAGCCCATCCTGTGGCCCCTTCACTCCCTCTTCTGTGCACTGCACCAGCTCCGGCGCATGTTGCTCCTTCTTTCTGGAGCACCTCTCTGGACACTTTGCGTCTGGAAAACTTCCATGCACCCTGTCTCAACGAGGCTGCCCAGCCTCGCTGAGGCAGGACTGTCCATGTTCTGCCATCTCACCATTCTTCCAGTGGGCACAGAGGCGTCCTCCCCGTCCACCATCGC